CCCCAAAACCCCAAAACCCCATAAGATTAAATTATTTCAATTCTTTAGTATTAGATATTAAATTAAAAATATTCTCTCATTATACAAATGCTTAATTTGTAAATAAAGTTATTATTTAATGAAACTTTCTCTTTCATTCATTAAATTTTTAAGCAGAGAGATAAGGTTGACTATTTATAACTCTAATTCTCTCCAATTTCTTTCTATGTTCTTCAAATCTCAAATAAACATCTCTTGAGTGAGTAAAATAATGAGATTAAAGAGTGTCAATTTTGCTTGAAATTGCTCTTATCTCATTAATTAAAGGGCTTTATTTGTCTTAAATACTATGGTTGATGGCAGCGATTCTACCTTCCCATAAGGATTCAGGTTCAACTCCAGTATAAGTGACCCAATGCAAGTACATTGGTTGTCCTTTATCTCTTTTCCAGAACATCAAACTCTCCTGCTCTAGAATCATTTAGTTTAGTTCCCATCCATCTGTTGAGGCAATATCAGTCATAACTCTATCATAAGTGTCAGACATAATTGCAATCAGCAAATTCATCATAATCAAGGTGATAAATGAGCTGCTGACAATAAAAACTAACCAAGAAGAATTTGAAGCATCCTCTTAAAGCAAATCAAAATCTCCAAAGATTAATTTGTAATATTGACCAAGATTTGAACTTAAAGTTTATTCATCTCCGTGTTCTGACTCAATAATGTTGAATGTGATTGCAAAGCCAAGGACACATAATATCAAAAGTAGAGTGAAAGATAACATATCTTTGCAAACTTCTATTATGAGTCTAATCAATACTCTTGAATTTTAATTCAGTCTGAAGTAAGGTAGAATTCTTAAGAACACAAGAATGTTAAGACCTCCTAGGACAATCTTATTATTATTATCTAAGGCATGTCTGTCATCAGAAAGATTCTTAAGAGCTGTGAAGCAATACCAAGTGATCAGAGCCACTCTTCCAATATCCAACAAATTCCAAATTTCACCAACATATGCTCTGTAATTCATAATCATTTAGAATCCTTCCCAAAACAAGAAATATCCTCCAAAAGCTAGTATCATTATAATGCAGGAATGACTATTTTTATTAAATACTGAGTGGTAGATAATCAAAATTACAAAAGCAAAATAGATGAGCGTTTATGAATAGGCGTAATTTTTAACCAAATTCCATTTATACTACAAGATTCTATTAATAGCCTCTGAAGTAAAAATACCCTATATAGCTGTATCTTATAAGCTTTAATGAAGTTGAATGCTACTAACTGATCCAGGCTCCAAATTATACTAGATTTTTAGTGATTTAAAAAGCAAAGGTTTTTATTTTTATTCATTTGCTGATTAATCTAGCATGAATTCACAATCATCTACTTAAAGAATAGGTCCTTTTGTTAAAATGAAATTGCAACTAACTCCCCTGATAGTTCCATAAGGAGGGACATTCTATTCTTCAACTAGTACAGAATTCTCAAAAAAGTTTAGGAGATTGCTTGGACTAAAATCTACAAGCTGAATAAGTTCACTCTCCTTCATCTTTTGGTATACATTTTCTCTCTTCATTATAAAATCCAGCAAAATATCTGTTCCTTGCTGACTCATTCTTTCAATAGAGTATTCAAGAGGACTTTTACCAGAACTATCTCTTGAATATTATGTTCCTTACTCCAAACATTAAGTGAGACTTTCAGGATTGTTAAAGAAAGCAAAATAATGCAAAATGTTTATTTTATAAGGAATAATAAAATTCTCCTTAAGAGCAGTTACAAATAGCTTTTATTCGCTTTTTACAGCCTTTATCATGCTTTAAATTATTAGGGGTGCAATAGAGTTCATAGGCCCGGTTATTCTAAGTTGCATTTTAGAATCTTCACTTTCTCCTACAGTATTTTCCTCTGCAGAAGGGAAATCATCTGAAAGCTAAGATGCTGTTTAAGCGGACCAAATTTTAAAAAAGCCATCATGCAAAAATGCTCTCATTACCCTATGCTCTGAAAGTAGTAAAATGAACTTTTCTTCTACAAATAAAATGCAATGAAAATTCTAAGCATCCCAAATAATAGTCTCTTGAGAGTTTCGAGAAATAACGTATCTACCATCGAGAGTTGAAGCAATAAACCATATATTACTTTATTTGTGTTCCTCAAGAATTTTATATATCTCTAGAGTATCTAGATGTAATATAATTAATTTTGAACTAAGATGTCCTTGGCAAACTGCAACATACTTACTATCAAGTGTAATTGTTAGTGTTGCTGGATTATATGGCTAGTTATCTCTGACTGAGATAATTTCGTCAGTTTTTAGATCGATGTTAGTTAGACTCTTTTATACAAAGTCTGAAGCAATGATAAATCTGTCATCATGGGATATTACTAATCCTTCATAGCCTTTACCTAAATCAATGATATTTAGCTATGTCATAGATTATAATTCCCATTTGTAGAATTTTCCTTTTTAATATCCCATAGTGTATAAAAATTAGTCAGCCTAGTCTATCACAATATCTATGATATCATCTGAATGGCTGTAAACACCTGAATCAGATTGAGTTTTAGTGGACCACCTTATCATTTCACCTGGTTCTCTTTAGAAAAATATGTAGGATGATGAATGAGTACAATTAACAGCTCTTTACCTTCCGAATGAATATTAAAATTTTGTAACACATGACTTTGTTATAGTGTTCCAGATTTCCATCCCCATTGTTCTGAGGTTTGTAGTCACAATATATTCTCCATTAGGTGTCACAATGCATTCATTTAATGAAGAAGTATCAATGGCTAGCTTAATTGATTATGAGTTCTCTTCTAGCCTCCAATATTGAATTTTATCATGATCGTCATTTTTTGCAATCAAAAAACTCTAATCGTCAGTGAAATTCAGTTAAACGATCTTTATGGTAGCATTCAAAATAGCAAGTAGCTGAAAGTTTTACAAGCACCAAACCCCAACTGTTTAATCAAGTGAGCCTGAGAATAAAACTTTTTAATTTTAAGAAAGTATAATGGACTCTACAGAACCTTAGTGCTATGGTGGAAATGAATGTTCGAGATCACAAGTTGTCAAACTCCATATTTTTATTTTCTTATCTTTGCTACAAGATATCATAGATTTTCCATTATTCCAATATAGAATTTGGTTTATTGGGTTGACATGCATTGACTCAATGCTTAGTATAATTGTTGAATCAGTCATTGAATAGTAATCTACTCCCTTCCTAACCATATTTCTTAATGCAACATAAAGATTGTCGTTAGAAATGATAATGTATTTAGATACATCTTCATTTTTTTCAGGTTTTGGCATTTCTTTTTTCCATATTTATATTAGTGGATTTACACTGAACACTGCAATTGAACTTGATATTTATTCAAAAACTGTGAACATTTTACCATCAGTTGATATTGAAATGTATTGGTATAGTTCCATCACATTTTCATCTTCATTTTTAAAAACTTACTAGGTGATACTAGATTTATTATTGATAGTGATGGTATTGATCATACCATTAGAGTCTGATATTATTAGAAGATCTTTAGTTGATTTGGCATCTTTCATTATACTATTACCAGATTTTGCTTAACCTACAAATTTCAAAGAGAAGGCATCGTATATAAAATAAGCATCAACCTCTTCTAGAGTGACTTAAGCAATAATGAAGTAATCTGTAGTTTGTATTTCATTTACTTTTTGTTAAATTGTAATTTTATTTACATCTTTGCGACCATTCAAAGACCAAAATTAAATCAGAGATAGATCCTCTGATGCATAAACTAGATTAGAGTCTCTTCCTATCTAAGCTCTTGATTTATTACTGTCAAAAGGAAATTCTTAGACTAAATGCTGCTCAAGCGCTGAAGCTTTTTCCATTATTTCTGGAATAGTAAATTATTTTTCTAATTATTTCTGATAGACCTGCAATTATTCATCTTGAGGGTGAGGAAAATCATCATTATTAAGTTAGAAGTCTCCTTTTGGAGTTACTTCAACCTATAAAGCAAAATTTAATTTTTTATGAACACCTACATTCTTTTGAAGAAGTGATTCTCTAGTATCTTTAATCATTATTAAGATATTATTAATAGAAGCCAGTATATTATTAAAACTATTATGTTAAAGCTGTATTTAAGTTAATTAAAAAAGTTATTTGATAATTTAATTTATAGAACATTAGAGTATAATCATAATTAGGGGTTTTGGGGTTTTGGGGTTTTGGGG